GCCAAGTCAAACAAGTTAATCTCCATAAGATTGAGTTCTGCGTAGTAGGAATTGTTGTGGTCGATCAAAAACCCTCTAGACATAAACGTTTTACAGCTCTTTATTCATTTATTGAAGGAACTTAAAGGAGTATCTATTTGTTAGACTGAAAAATATAATGCCTTATTTTATTCACTTCAATAGGATTTCGACATAATTTATACTACACTTTACATAATAACACATATAGTAAGATATTAGCTAGTCATTTTCATCATATCATTTTTAAAAATAACATAGGTATAACGGTCAGCCAACTTGTTGATGGTAATCCAGAATTTCAAACGTATGAAGCCCTCTGTTTATGATGATTAGAAAACCTTTTTCAGTAAGCGCTGATTTACATCAACATTAAATACATTGGTCACTGCAAATATTTTGGATCATTTTTAATTTTAATCATACTTTTCAGAAATCAGTTTTGCGGAGATTTTTAGTAATTTTATAGTTGAAATCATGAGTCAATTGAAGTAAGACCAGGTATCCATAGTGGTCTAAATTCAATTGATTCATGATTTCAACTATAAAATTAATTCCACTTGTTTAACGCTCATTTTGCTGTTAAAGCTGTCAATATGCTATCTGAAAGTGTGAGTTTGGTAGGTGACAGAAATTTATTATAGACTGTGAACCATTACAATTAGATAAAGTTGCCTAAAAATTTATAGTAAGAAAGTCCAGTCGTTTTGATTAAGTGGTTTATGAAGTTCTATTCATTTTTAATTTGATATATATTCGGGATGAATGTTATTTTCATAGGTGACTTCATTCCTATTTTTATTACTATTTGTCTTGTGAATGTAAAACTGATACATAATTCGTCCTCTTACAGGATGAAGAATTCAAAGATGACAAATTTCAAGTTATACAAAAAGAAGAAATCTAATAGACCAAGTGAATATGTAAAGATGCAGGTTACATACTATAATTGCTTTGTTTAAAGAGTTAGCTTTAAAGAAAGCAAACAAACTAGAATGACCATATGTTATTAATAGTAATTACAAATTTCACTTTACGAGTTATTGTTATGTCCAATGCACTAATATTAAATAACTGGTTAGTATCATTGATTGTATACTGAAAATAAGTCTTGAAAGTGTAATTATAAATCAAATAACACAAAAAAATATCTTTGCTTCTAATTAACTTTATTCACTCCTTAATTCATGTGCATTGAGTAATATCTTTCCCGTCAGCAACACTGCCAAATGAAGTAGGATGTCCATTAATTTCTAACTTTTTTATACAACCATTGAAATTTTTGGATTTGATAAAAATGTTCTCCTTATGTGAAGATGAATATCCATTACTCATTAGTTCCAGGTATCTTCTTTGTGCATGTAGAGTTTCAGGGATTCCTCCTAAAAGAAAAGTAGCATTAGTCATTTACATAACAATACAAATTTTATATAAGAATAGTCTATTAGAAGCGCCTAACTATTAATATAATAATAAATTGGTAGTTTTAAGAACTTGAATCAGACCTAATTTTCATGTTTTCATCGCTTTAGAAAGATCGAGTGGTGAACAGATTAAACAAATGCAAAATACTTAACACTTTCCTGTAAGAGATGATTTACGTTAAATGAATTATCGGGAACATTTGGGATAGTGATTATTTATTGCACACTTTTAAGGTCTTTAAAATGGCATGTCTACGGGAATTTTTTGATCGATTCAGTGACATGTAGCAACAAAATGTCTTACGTTTTCCGTCATAAGATGTTACTTAATAATATTTATTACTCTTAAAAATTTATCTGGTTATTACCTACCTCTATAGCAAATAGAAATCTTTCAGTTTAATTGACAAATGTACGGTATTTTACCTGGTACTCCATAAATAATAACCTGTTTGGTCATGCAGGTATCCTGTTTATTAAGCAGTTGTACGAAATACGAGCGGAAATAATTGCGACATGAAAGGTGTACAATGATATTGTCAGGTATCAACTATCCAATGTAAATTCTTCTGGTGTAACGATAAGATATTATCATTTACAGATGCAAATTTTAAGAATCATCATTACGATGAAATATACATCTGTTTACCAAAGAACATTTTGACTGATGTTTAGTCTACAACAAATTCACCACTTATTAACAATTAGCAATCTTTCAATAATGAAAATACTTCATAATTCGTCTGAGTCCGTCAAGTGTTTGAGATTTCGTGAATCAATTTTCGTACTCATAAATCAATTTTTTCCAAGAAACTAAATGGCACATTTACTACTTTATTAATAATTCTGTGACTCTTCTGTCATTCCAATGAGTTTACTTAGAAAATGACCATAACGTTATACTCACAATTGTTGTTTGGGTTTTAAAAATTAAATATTCTTTAGTAAACGTAGCATGGAGTCCACTTACAGAGAAGACGTACAACTTTAGGTTGTTCTACGTTAAATGAAGTGATAACTCCTTATTATATTTCTATTCGGCTTTTTAATCACATCATTTATTTCCATTAGTAACAGTGATAATTTAAACAGAATTAGATGAGCTATATTATTTGCTTTTAAAAATGATGATCTGATTTAAACAGGAATGAAAACTTTAATGGTATGAATAAAAAAAGACGTTATCGATTCACCAATAAACAACTGAACCGGTTGCACTTCATTTTCTTTAAAATAGATTTGAGCAACTTGTGATTGGTTGATAAATAGTGTGATGGCCTTTGAACTTCTAGATAGCAAAAATTAGAAATCAAAGATTTATTTCAATAAGTCAACACTTGATATTCGGAGCAAGAAATCAGTGAAACAACATGTGACATAAATATTCTTATCAGAATGGGGATTTATGGAGAATGTGTTAACTTTAATGATTGAATTTAGGAGTTGATCTAAGCTAGACCACCACTGTAAACCTGGAATCACTGAATTGCCTTTTCATCCACTGCTAAGGAGTCTCATACTAGGATGAAACGGCCGTCCAGTGATTCCAGGTTTTTAGTGATGGTCTAGCTCAGATCAACTCATGAATTCAGCTTAAATATTCCATGATAATAATATCATGGTGATTATGGTTCATCTAAACCAACAGAATATACCAATTCTGCAAAATGTGGCTGTAGGAGAAATATAGTTATACAAAAGACCTAGAACATATCTACCTAACGTCAATATTTGATCATTTCAAACACCATAGTAGTAGTTGAGTTTATCCAAATTCATATACTTATTTTGTTCAGTTTGTAAATATCGTTGTTAAACAGAGCTTGAAACAGAATTTCCGAAGCGAAAGTTTACGACTACACATTATCTATCCATGGTAAAATGAACGTGATTATGTATAAAGATGAAAAAACTGTGTAATAAAATTGACGGTCTTTTCAAATACGTAGATGTTTTGACCATACAGTACATGAAATAAGAAGTAAGTCTTAGGATGCGATATACACTATGTCGTGAAAATCTACTTTTTGTTCTCTGCTGCACTAAAACGATGAATATACAAAAAGGATTGTCTTTTATTTTTTTTAGTTGACGATCAATTTTTATTTATTACTAATCCCAATTACTTGAAGATGATATCTTTCATGTTCCTGGAAAAAATTTATCTCAAAAAGGAATGAAATTATTTATAACAGTTGATTTGACCAAGACAAGTTTTGAGAGAATCCTAGAAAGAATTTTACTGTCTTTTATGTAGAACTTATAAATGCAAATCTGTTGTAGAATACAACCTGCCACGAACAATGCAAGGTAAACAACTTCCGTTTCTTTACACAACCTCGACTACTGGATAAGAAAATCGACTATGTGATTTATATGTATAAATAAAATGAAATGAAAGCAGAGGAAGTCAACGAACACAGCATACTGAATGGTGAAGATGGATCACACGGCGCGACAATATATGACGGACTGAACAAAACGAGTGTATACATATAATCTCGTACTAAACCGCAAAAGCTATTAGTATTTTGAGCCAACCAAATAGTTAGATTACCTTTAATATATAGTGCAAAACTATTATGCGACAAATTTCATGGCGACCCAGTATGTTTTGATGACTTAAGAATAAATCGTAGATGCTGACGTGAGGTATCTAAGTGGACTTTTTCGATGATCTGACCAGTGATTTTGATATCTATGGACAAAAGTTTGCTAAATAGCAAATGAGAGTGTTTGGCTCAGAAGATGAATGCTAAACTCCATATAATTTGTCATTTTATCACTCAGGAGCTTGAAATCTCATAATTAAAGCGATCTCTTAGTTTTCCTTAACTTTTCATGGTAATTTATAAGATAAATCTGTCAAAATTTGCCTTCAGTTTAAATATTTTCTTCTAAAACTAAAATTTCCAAAAGTACATTTCAAGAGAATATTTAAAGCATTTACAGTTTTTGGAACTCCTCATCCTACTCTCTTCTCGAACTAAATATGAATGATTGCCAAACATTACTATTAATGACTCTCGAATTAAGTATCCATTTGAATAAGTTTTATAAGTAAGAATAAAGTTTGCTATGAACCCTTTGCTCAAAGATTTACATGTCATTCATTTAACATATTTTTAAGTCATGTCAACACAAATCAAAAAAACTGTATATCTGTCAATAGTGACTAACTTTGTGAGTAAAAGTTTGTGCCAATCGTGTCCCAACTCTAATTCCTCCGAAATGTCATACATTTGTATCAGCATACGCTGGCTAAATTGGTTGCGGCCAATTTTCCATAATTCATCATTGTTCAAAGACTGATTTGTCAGGTTAGATGAAGTGACTATATATTTTTCAGTCTCTACATACTCTAGACCTAATTTTAGTCTTTTGGTGGGAAGAAGCTGAATTAAAATATTTTGTATTTTGTGTACACTTTGAAATACACCATAGACCAAATATTGTTTGAACAACTTAATTGACGCATTATTTGTTGACGGATAACTTTTCATAGAAGTAATGCCATTTCCAAAACTTTTGTTGGATAGCCGAAATTCAAGCGATATATGATAGTGACGACTATTGGGTCTAAAAGGCAAATCAGAAAAAGATTAACAGTGAATGTCGAAAGTCCTCTCATTAAGTTAATATCCTCACAGTTAAGATCCAACACCACAGAAAATAAAATGCTTAGTAAGAAAGTTGACAGAATTTATTCAGACAATATTGTTAAACCAGAAAATAGCAAAATAACAGAAGAGTTATCAGCAATACATAGAAATAATCTCCCGAAAATCCAAACTCTAACTTAGCAAATAATACTCATACACCAAGGGGGACAGTACTCGAATTTTTCATAGAACCGGTTAACACGTGGTTATTGACAAAAGTTAGTAGTTCATTGATTCATCTAACATCGAAAGCTATTAATTCTAAATTGTTTTCTCTCATTGTACCTCGTATTGCTCCTAGAATATGTGGGCAATGTTACAATTATTATGACTAAGTTATTGTAATATAGACATACTAGTTATCTAAGATTGATTTTCTTAGTTTTTAGGCTTGAATATCAATTAGGCTGTCAATTTAGCATCATGAGGTAAGGGCTGGGTCATTTCTAACAGAATTAAAATTTTATAGAATTTACGGGATTACTGATGAAATAAAAAAGATAAAAATAAAAGCTTCCCATCGTTTCCCTTCTTTTGAGAAATCAGAGGTTCATTGAGTTTATTCCCTTTATTCAATAAACAGTCTATTCACGTTAACTAGATTTATAAAAGTTTTTGAAGGGAATTTAATAATTAAAACTTTCAACAAAAATCATTTTTAACTGGGAATGAACTTCACAGTATTTCTCTGGAAGAAGAAAAATAATAGTCCCCACAACATTATGAAGTTGAATTTCACTTGATTATACTATCATCCAAGACTAACATCACTTGTAAATTCAATGAATTACAATGAAAACTGGACAGACGTTTTGACGACTGGAGTTGTAAATGCAAATTTTCGGACCATTAATCCGTAATCCAAATGTATTGTAATTGCTGAGATAGCTGAATAGTTCGTGTAAAATCACCAAACCATTTTAGAGTAGAGTGAAACAAATACCCAATAATTCAGGTGATATTGGTTCAGGAATGTGAACTGACTTCAAGTTAAAGAAATGTTGAGAGCCTACTATCGTTATAACTGTGCTTGTCATATGATTAAACGGAAAAATACTCATATTTCTTATTTACTAAAATCGTTCGAGATTTAATTTTCAAGCGACTCGACTAATTACCTGATATTCACAAAACACACTCGGTGTATTTTGTTTCTACCATAAATTTGGATTTGAAATAAAACATTGTATTTTAAACATTTTAAGTCATTCTGTCATCACTGATCAATCCTCTAAAAAGTATGCCGATGAAGAAGACCGTACAACCTCTGGAGTGGTTTAAAAATATAACAATCTATCGCTCATACTCTGTCGTAAAGGATTTGACCACATATTTCATCACAACACTCGTCTCATAGCAATGATTATAATTTCATGAACATAATATGGTTCAACTGATCAAAATTTCGGGTTTGTAGGCCAGTACTGTTGCATTCATAATAAAAAAGAAAGCAGAAGCCAGATTAAAAAGATATTATAAACGTTAAAAATTCTTTACCAACCTATAATTTAATGAGTTCGTTGTGAATTTCACGAAACTGTTTTCTCCAAATGCAGCTGATTGCTTCCCCTGCCAATTAATTTCTTAATGAATATTATCAATGGGTGTTTAGAGAAAAGATAAAAACCAAAAATGATAAAATTTCAGTTATTTTGACTACTATTTAGATCAATAACAATTTCAGTTATCGCATTCTTTTTCCCTCAATGATGTTCTCTATCTGATTATGCTTATTAATAGTTTAGTATTAAATATAGGCTGCTGACGTGCTATGCAATACTAGTTTCCTCAGTAATTAGATCGGCTTTTCCTCCGATCATCAGTTTTTAAGGACTCACTACTTAAATCAGGATTACATGTAAATATTGAAAAATTTGATTTTGATATGATATTGATCGCGTTTTATTATCTCTTTAGAATAGTATATCCATCTGCTTGACTAATAAGGGTTTGGTTATTGTACAAACTTTAGAGTACAACTTTTATAAATCCACAAGTTATGTTGTTTGTTTGTGAGAAACTTTGGCTATTCAGACTTTCGTGAGTATTTTCCGCATACACTATGGAAAATTCAAACAAAGTAATTTATATCAAATGGAGAAATTTTGTTCCAATAGGGGTTGCTTGGCATATCATCAGTCTTGAACATTATTTCGTAGTCACTTTAAAGATTACTGAGACAAATGAACATTCACGAGAATGTACATAGATTTGTTCGACTTCCAAAATTGTATATGTCACATTCCAGCTCAGAGAAAAACAAATTTATTGAAACTCATGTAAATCCTGTAGTTGTTAGATCTAATCATCCCATTAGCAAACTACATTGATGCAGATGAACAAACATCAAACAAACCAATCATGGGTAGATATTTTCCTTTAATTTATTGATAATTTTGAGGTCTTTACTATCTATATAGTTCGTGTTTTCTAGTGACTAATAAACAAAACAAAATTATCAGTATGAGGTCGCGGAGATTGTCAAGTTTTATCAAAATCATTTAAAACTTGGAAGCACTAGACGACCGTTTCATTCTATTATGGGATTTCTCGGAAGTATTCATCTAAGCCCCCCTCAACCGGAAGTTGAGCCCAAGACCTTCGATCTTGTACATGAATTGATTACTTTTACTGGAGTTTCGCCGTTTACAGCTAACTGTTTTATCAACAAACTAGAATTTACAAAAATATCAACTTATTTATGATAACACAATCAAAATGTTTGCGTTGTTAGGTGAATGAATTGATAAGGATAATAAATATGTGTAGACCCTTAAATTTGAAAGGCGTATAAATTATGGAAAAGCATGTGTTCATTAAGTAAAATTTTGCTATTCTTTTACCTAATCATAGGATCTTCTAGTCATGACAGACGAAAATATTTTTAATATGACGGTTTTAAATAAGAGTTAATACTAAAAATGTCTTCCATAAGTACGTGGCAGGTCTAAGTTCTCATATTCGTAATGATCATAAATTTTTTCAAAAATACAAACCCACATAATACAAGATGGAATATATGCAGCTAACTGCCAGGCTAAGTGTATAACTTAGTATTCAGTTCCTAAGGGACAGTCGGTTGTAACGTAATCTGAATACAATATCAGATGAAAGACCATTAAAAATCAGGAAGTATGCAAGAACGGTTTTTTAGTTCTTTGACTTGTTAGAAATTAAAATGCGTAAAACATTACAATGAACTATATACATCTTCATGGTATGCACTGGATACTTAAAACTTGATGTGCACGTGAACTAATGAAACCGATTTTAATGATTGATCCTAATCAGTGACATGCTAGACACTTGAAATTGCATGAAGCTGGAAAATATGAACTGCTAATCGCCTACTTTGAATCACATATATGTGAGAGATATATGTTTACAGGCAAAGGGTAGGCCAAAGCAGAAAATACTCACTGTATTTTGTCACTAGCTGTGGAGGATAATTGAATTCAAAGTCTTTTATTCCAAATGAGCATGAAGACTCTATTTTGTGAAGGGTGTCTATTGATAATTAATCAAAGGAAGGAAATTACTGTAAAAGCCTCACGATGTAAGATGTGTTTCAGACTAATTTTTTGCTTTATATCTGTTTTCAATCGAACATCAGATGATTTCTTTCTCTTTTCTCGTGAATGACTTCATTTTAGAAGTAAAGGGTTATGTAAAATAAAATTTGTGCCTATTTAGTTTCTTAGTACGATTGATAATATTACTCAGGTTATCTAAAAAAATGCCGCCAGTGTGCTGCTATCACAGTCTATATATTCTTATATTATTACCGTGTGGTTTAAAAACTGTTTAAGAAATGTTATACTTCCCTATTCAACCCCATCAGCTTTGTAACACATGTGGTATGTATAGCTCAAATTTTAATGTGAATGATATCTTATCTAAAGGTCAGATGCCTTTTGAATAACAGGATGGATAGTCAGTGTATATTTAACAAATTCCAAGTTATAAATTGCGGTCTCTGATAATTTGCAAATACTGAAACCTGAACGACGCCGATTATCGAACTTAACTCTGAGTCTCTAATAAAGTAGTTTTCAACACTATTAAACGGTTAGAGAGAGAACAGTTTTACAAACTTATATGCACAACTAGAATAGTTATTATTAGTAAACAAGTGTATTAATTCTAACTATGAGCGAGACGTGATAACTGAGGTCGATGAATTGGGATAATTAACCGATATATTTACGTAAGTCAATGAGCATGTAGATCAGGCGCCTCATACTAATCTAGAACATTACAATCGGCAGAAAACTTGTTTATTAGGAGAAATTATAAAGGGTTTACATAATACTTATACACAGCTTCCGATCAATCATTTGCATCTCACAGTGTGTTGTGCAGTTCATGCTGTCTTTTCGTCTAGTCATCGAGTGTTTTGCCTACAGTAAGCTTTCGATGTATTGCAATTCTTCACTCCGTCTGACGACTGCGACAACTTCGAGGCAACGTCCCGCAACATACTACTAACAAACAATCTTGTGAGTAGTGTCTACGACACTGTGATTAGCTACATAAACAATGATTCTACAAGCAGTTAACAAACTTCACTCTTGGATGAGTAACCTTTCAATAAGGGTGACAAATAATCTAAATAAATAATCGCATCAAATATCAGTTAGACTTTGCACTTATATCTCTTGTAAACCAAAACTGTTTTACTCCTGGACAGTACTCCAAATATATTGCACATAAATTTTTTCCTTCTTATGATAAAATTAATTATACTTAAACACCGTTTTGTTATTACAAAGAGAATAAAATAGTCTACTGGTTTTCACAAAGTCTGTAAGCACAATACCTACTTTTTAAGCTGTACATGTTTTGTTGTTTGCGTCTTTCAATAAAACGAAGATGAATTTGAAATTTTCATTGTGCATGTAAGTGACTTGCATTAGTCTTCTAGGATTGATTAAACACAAGATTTGTAATACATACCCTGGCAGTTACAGGACTATTTCTCTTAGTTTTGTCATACATCCTATCCATTTTTATTCAATTTTTAAACGTACTTTCATGGTGACCACTTGAAGCGATCATTCAAAAAGGATCAATACGAAAGTATTGAAAGTATTTTAATAATATGACTTCCTGAAATTCAGTGATTAAAGAGATGTGGGATTGAATTTTCTTATTTTATGAACTCATACAATAATGGTCAAATATTATATAAAACCTACATATACTTAATTTAAGTCCTAGTTGCTACAAACTGATCTTTATAAGCAACATAGAAGAATCCTTAGTGCTGATTTTGTATATGATAAATTTAAGATAATTTGATGGATTTTAAGTATACAGCAAAATTAGAAATATATGCTCTATTCGTTATTAAGAAATCTTATTTATATCCCTTATCATTAATAAATTCAGACACAACAAGTTTTAGCGGTTTGTTAAGTTCATGGCAAATAGAAAAATTAGGCTTGGAATAGTATAACGGTTTAAAATAATTACTTATTTAAGACAATAATATATATAAGCAGAGATGGATAGTGGCTAGCAGTGGAATCCAGGACGCGCGTTTCATCTTATTTGGGACTCGTCAGCTAGATGTACCTGCATCTCAGAATTGATGTTCACTCTGGGACTCGAATCCAGTACCCTCGCTTCAAACGCCATCGCGTTATCCACTCGGCCACTGAGTCCTGATAGCCACTTGCTAATAATATATATAATTGCAATTATAAATTTACTCACTTTCTTTACAGTCCTTCCCCTGAAATCCAAGTGGACATAAACATGTGAAACCTTTTAAATCCTGCAAACATTTCCCGTTGTTTAAACATACAGGGTTTGAAAATCCACATTCTTGTCCAGGACAATTTAAAATATTCACGCCACCTATCGCATTTTTAATAGGATCAATGAGTACTCCGTTTGTTTCAATCTAATAGAAATTGTTTAAAAGAGATAACATGCTCAAAAGTACTGAATACATAAAGCTATAGTTCGCTATGATAATTGACACTTAAAGTGCATGAAATTCCCGGTTTTCTCTTTGCGAGAACACAGTATATAAATGAGACAAAAATGTTTAAAGCATTTAGTCCCTTTGATAAATTTTGATAGACGAAGATTATCAGAACTATGTGGTATATTAGCGCAATGTATTTCGAACAATCTAATCACACATATACTTGTTAAGAACATTTATATATAAAAATAAAAAGTCAACTAGACTGGTAATAAGGTTAAGAAATAGACAAGGATAATAATGATAAAATAATGTGAAAACAACTTGACACCTAACCACTCTGAATAATAAGCATTTATTACCAGGGTAGGTTTAAGGAGAGGACAAACTGTTTTTTAATACACAAAAGGGGTTTGAATTTTTGTATGGCCAAGGCTTCAATAAACCTTAGTATATGCTCTTTTACATTTTTATACAACACCACAAAAGCCGAGTTAAGATCAATCTTGTGGCCTGTTTCGATTATGTATTTGGCAATAGAGTATATGTGTGATCAGATTGTGTTGCGCCAATACATCACATAGTTCTGATAATCTTTGTCTTCTTAACAAAAATATTGAATTGTGACTATTGAAATTGTGGATTCGTTAACTTTTATCTATTGTTAATAAGATTCTCAGTGGGGATGAGATGAGATATACGATTGGTTCAGTTTCCATATTTCTGAACTGACCAAAAATTCAAAACCAGGATACAAATAGACTATACAACGTGTGTTTCAAAATTGAAAAATTCATTCACCCAATATTGTGTTTTCTGAATAAAAACACTTCTAGAATACGGAAAAACACAGATTCTAACTAATTAAATGAGGCGGTTGATTATATCTTACTTACATGCTGTTGTCAAGTATTGATCATTTTTCTTTACAATAACTTAGTTCACAAGTTCACTTCTACTGAAACAGTTTTAATCCTATTCATAAGTAGAGCCTAGTACCTACAAATATTATTCAGTCAAAAACCTTTATTACTGCATTCATTTTAACAATCTGCTCAGAAGTTGAGTTTTGAAATGAGATGCACACAATATAAACTTGAAACAAGTGGAAGCGTCATTCAGAAAACATTTCTATGAAAATTCCTTTTTCACCATATTAAATGTCATTTTTGTGTCAAAAAATTGTTTTCAGTTTAGGGAGAGCCAAACACAGTTCATGAAAACAGAAGCCTTACTTTGAAGATTCGCTGACAATCGACTGATATCTACGTACAACTTTGAAATGATTTTACTGAGAAAAGGCTTTAAGTGTTCATAAACACACATTTAAAAATAAATTAAGACTTTGAAGAAATTTCAATTTAGTCAGAATTTAAGATTTAAGACTGATTGTTGACAGAAAGGTTTAACTTGAGAAATTTAAAGTTCATGTGATCATTTAAAATTATAGGTAAGTACATGGTTCTACTATTTGTAGAGAAAATAAAAGAGAGAACCTAATCATCTAAAAATACGAGATAACTGCAAAGTATTATCCTACATGTACTACAGCCTATTGACATACTTTACTGATGCATCCTTGAAATCCAATACTCAAATTTGTTGCATATCCAATAAATGGTTTTATATGAGTTGATATAAAATTAGAATTTGGATGTCCACCAAGATACAAAGAGTAAGTTAATGTTAGTTGAACTTGTAAACCGAACGAGTAATTCGTCATTATATGCTCATCTGAGTCGACTTGTAAATAACCATCACGACCGATTCGCCAAAAATGGACTATGTGCCATTCATTTAATTTTATTTCTTTTTCATTCCTAAATATAAAAACGGAAAGTATTTTATTAAAAATGAAGAATGCTTTGATTGAAAAGATGTTCAAGATATCTGTGTATCGTAGTTGTAGAATCATAGTAATGGAAACAATCCACTTGGGGCTGAAAAGACTCTATAGAAGATAGAAGGAAAGCAGATTGCCACTAGAAAGGTAAAGAAGGAAAAAAGTAACGACAGATTGAGATCATTGTGAAAGAAGAGGTTATGCAAGTTTCTCTGTACAAATACTTCTGGTTTCTCCAGTTGTACGGTAAGTTCTTCGGCAATACTAAAAAGACATCCGCAAGCAGGTTAGTGAGTTCCTGTAAGTGTTTTCAAGAACTTATGCTATATGTTGCATGTTATTATTATTATATATTATTATTAGTCTTTCATTTTAAAAGCTAAGAATCCTCTCAGACATATTTAGATGAGAAAATCTATCCATAATAATCCCTTAGTCATCTTTTTGGGGAGGTTATGTATTTAGAACTGCATACTGCTAACACAAACATTATCATCCATGTTAGTTTCGCCCGTTACTCTGATCTTTATTGTTTAGTAACTAATAGTGGGTGTCTTCTAATCTCGGCTTGACGGCTGATGAAACGAAATTTTAAATTGTAATCACAACATTGAGTAATCTGACGCTCCCTGCTTTATTCCACCACGACGTTCACAGACTTTACGGGATGTGACCCATCTACAGAATAGAAATTACAGTCATATCTTCGTCCCAAATGTTGATATAGTCGTCTCAAGCAAACAGTACTCCACGGTCTTTAAGTTAGAGCGCGGTTTAAGCATTTGCTGTACTACTTGCTACTATTAAAAAAACACCTAAACCTGGTGCTTTTTAATTGCAATGTGCAGACTTCTATCTCTTTAACATTGACTGACTTTTATTAACATTCATAATGTAAGATGTGGTCTTGATCCCTGTTAGCACTCGAGAACTGAGTATCAGGCTGAATATTATTTGATTACTGGTGTGTTCAATTATTTCCTCATCTGCTAGTGAACTTCTGAATCTTAATCGACTATGTACTCTCAAAAAATAGGAATAAGCTTACTTTAAAAATGCTGAACCGGAACCTAAGTCAAACGCCACTACAACATATCCATGGACTAACATAATAGCCAAGAAGTCCCCACGCCTATCATGACTATAACCTTCATATAAAATCAATCCGTTTGGCTGTGATGGTCTAAACTGGAGTTCCAAGGTGGTGAATGATGATGATGTCCCACTCAATCCAATATACTCGGTGTACGAATATCCGTTGTAGTACGGCATGATTAGCTCAACTCCTGTGGGAAGACAACAAAAAATATACAGACAAATATAAGTTCATAAACTAATCCCCAAAGTACTAATGAATGCCAAAAATAAATTTCAGAGAAGCAAATAAAAAATGTCCTCACGGAATCAGTACTTTAACAAAATATATTATGCAGGTTGATAATAAATTCGTGGAAAAGAGATCACTTCTCTAAACTTCGAGTTTTTAATTTTCAAGTGGAAATCATGTCTACTTATGTTTTTGCCAACACACAAATTCTCATGCATACTGAAAGAAAACCTATTTAAATGGAAATCGGCTGACACCAATAGCGTTCTTCCCCCAAATACTTGAATCGTAGTTTACGTCTTTTCTGCAAGGAATTCCAAACATGAATAAAAATAGCTACATCCGCTTTCATTGATTCTCACAAATAAAATAAGAAATAGATAAAAAATTTCTTTGAGTCATTTTCCTACGTATCTAAATAAGAAATTTAACTTCACTAAAATATAGGCAGTTATGCACTTTAATGAGTCTCTGAAGATAAAAAGTTGTTGAATTTTTTATTGTCACTGTCAGAAGTATGTATTTAACTTACTTTGTTCACATTGTTGACCCGAAGTTCCTAAAGGGCACTGACAAATAACACTGGAACCAGATGTTTGCAAACACGAAGCATTATTTTTGCATTCTTTCTTTTCACATAAATCGAAACCACAATTAGCTGAAACCAGATTTAAAAAAACTGTAAATATTCCTATTCACTAGTGGAATCTGTGGACTATTTCAGAACGTTGTCAGTATAGATACTTCGAGAAACATGTACTTATTTTATCAACCCTTCAATATACGCAGTAAGTGTGAAACCTGTAAACTTTTTCACATAATTGGGCGTATGAAACTACTGTCTTCGTGAAAACTTGTAACTTTGTTATTATAAATTTTTTATTAACATTTCAGATAAGTGGAAACATAAAAAATGATCATTAATAATATGACTGACAGATATACGACTACGTGAAGGCATTAACTTGTTCTAGTGATTTCCAGCTTGTAAAGTCAACTAAAGATTTCATGTTCGAAACAAATATACCTCATCTATCTTAGTTATAACCTATGTTTCATCGTAGTTAGTTAACCACCACCTCTGCATTATACAATAGGCTAAATTAGGTCACCTTCCCGAGATTTTTTCGTGTGATTTAGTCAGCATCAGTCCAATAACAACACGAATTTCTTACAAAACCGTTTTAAGTATTATGGCCATATTTCATTATGCAAAAATGGAATCTCTCAAAATGCATGAGTGACAAAGAATTTGTAGATGTTTACAACAAATAATTACAATGATGAATAAAAAAATGAATACAACTTAACTTACTTATCCCATACCCATCCACAGCATCTCCTAAGAAAGCCTTACGTCTAGGATCTATAGGAACTTCATTAATCCTTATATTTTGTATGCATCCACTGTAACTTTGCTCAAAAATATAACCAACAAAATGAATTGGACCTCCTGTTTTAGTTAATTCAGGATGTCCACCAAAGGAGACGTAACTGAACTCCATATCATTGACATTTTTCAAATACTTTTCATAGTGTATAACATCCGACCATGGAATGACCTATAATTCCCATAAATTAAATAATTCATGACAGGGAATAGGAATAGTAAACATTAGTCATCTTTTTATATAATTTTACTGACATTGAAAGGCTGGGTACATCTATAAGGTGATATGTATTGGAACTATAAAAGTGATCTTGTATTTTCAAGTAAAGTTTTAAAAATTAGTGGGTTATAAAATAATGAAAAATTTCAATGAACTTAAAGGAGAAAAATGTTGTCATGGAAGTGGATGACCATTAAAGCACCACTTAAGAAGTTTTCTGTTTCAATTGTTAGTCATATAAAAATAATCAACACACATAGTCGATTTCTTGAAAGTCTTACACTACAATCAACAAACAATTTATTCTTCTAGTTGTCCAGGTTGTATTAAATTGTGGCAAAGCCAGTACAGGCTAATCAGTTTATCTTGTTCTATAAACTGTGCTCTATATCCTTAGTTTACATATCATGTTAATTTATCAACGCCGTTTACTCATTGAGACGCAAGGTCCCCTACAAACAATAATACTGAGAATGAATGAAATAAAAACTTATGAACGATTTCAGAACTTAAAGAATTATTTCCTCGGCTGACTGACTGACAGATATTCTACTTATATTAATTTAGACAAGATGATCTAATTCCTAAAGAAATTATTTATCTATAAAGTCGACTGATCAAAGGAGGAACGTAGTGATGACAATGACAGACAAGCTGTGACATTTCTTAGTTAATTCAATTACAAAACTTTATTTATTTCAATTCACTAGTCAGTATTGAACAAGCAGTTTGGAAATTCACTTCCAAGAGTTGAAAAATCAGATTTAAAAATTAATTTTTAGTTCATTTTGGCTAGTTTAGTGCCGTATATTTGTACTAAAAATCCGCACATCATAATTTAACTTCTATAATTTACACAAACTGAACTACCTAACGCTTACACCAAGAATGAAGTTATATTTGTAAAAAACTGACGGATTGTATTTGATTTGAACAGAGAAAAAAGAAGCCTTGACAAACTACGGTGGCTATTCTGGGGGAAGTTGTTTCATTTAATTCTAAGATTGTAGAACAGTAACATTTACTTTTGTCCCTAGTCTATTCTACAGATCATAAGCTTTCTTGTGATTTTTTGATTCACTGCCATAGCCTTTTCTGTTCCTAAGCTATTGTAATTTAAACGTAATCTTTTGTACTCTATTTTCTGTTCTAATCCCCCAGTTTTGGACATAATTGTATTTTCCTAATTATTGTACGTTGTGTTCGGGTTAGTTATCTACTTATTCATGCATCTTTTTACACTAATCTGAAATCGGGTACCAGACCGGAATTGCGAATAAATCAAGTAGTGTTCCAGTTCACTTGTCTTCTCTCTATCACGTGTGCCTGTCTGCCAATTAAGTAATAGAGTAGTTTTCGTTTCTCAAACCCAATTCGAACTTACTCATACTAGCCTCAAGGTTAAACCAGTCAGCCTATCGCGTCAAGGTCTTAATCTACATTGGACAAGTTGTCCTCAGCACGAAAGTGGGTAGACAGATCAAGGACATAACAGTACTTAAAATAAATCCAACATCTCTGTGTGCAGTCTGCTTCAAGCTTCTTTAGGAGAAATAGTCAAAAGTCTAAATTACCGAACACAAATATATGGTCCAGAAATTAACTATGTGCTAGGTGTTATAAATCGAACATGTCAGAGCATGAATAAAATGAGGATAAATGCAACTTTGTGTTGTTGCACTAAATAATCCAACTTTTCAGATAAATTTACTGATTAGAGAAAATACAGGTAAATTGTTTTCGTCCACAGAACAAGAGGCGAACTAAAAGAAATAAAATGTAAAATGAAATTCAGCTTTCTCCATACTAATAAATCTTTGCCATGGGACCTACTTAATGCGTAGTATGATGAAGCTTAGTGTTTGATTTTACTAAGAAACATTTTGGTATCCAGGATTCATTTAATAATTCAAGAATTATTTATAGATAGGAATTTTGTCTGGGCCCTCTCATTATGGTTTTTCTATGAATCTAAAGAGTTTAGACTGCAAGGAATTGTTATATAATGCCCAAAAATTAGGCTAAACATTCGATCATAATTGATTGTAGGCTGAATCACCTCTAAGCTAATTTTCCTCAGTCTCTTATGACAGCTTACCATTTTTATCCTGTGTTCGCATTGGATATATAAATGTTATTTCATTAAAGAAAAACACTGATTCACTAAGCTAGCTGTTTTGTCTTTGAATTCTAATTAATCTGGGTCTCACGTTTATAATAAGGCCTAGTGAGTAGTCATCGCTCAGTCACAATTCATACAATTGCATTTATCCATCTATAATTATTCTATCCGTTGATTTTACAAATTGGAATTTTCCTTTCATCGATCATCATAAACCTCTTGCATAATAGATTATTTATAAAATGTTTTTACGATGTATTTTAGCTCGAACCTTGGAGCTCGTATGGTGGGATTTTGGAGGTTTTCTTGTTATTAACCTAAATGTAAACGCATAATTTGCTTTCGGATATACAGAGGATGTTGGTCGGAATAACATATGTTTTTGACTAGTATGATTATTTCAAAATGGTGTGTCAATACGTTTATCCTTCATCTTTCTAAACAAAAATTCAACCTTTCAAAGTATGGCTACAAGCAAAGTAATATTTTATGTAAGACATAATCACCTAAATATAGAACTCTTTCTATATCATAGAACTGACGCAAAACTCTAGTGAACATATCCGCTTTCTATGCTGCCTAGTTTTATTATATTATTATGTTTGTCGGATAAAGTTAACAAGTTATGATTATAAAAAAACCTATTTATTCGACATCCTTAAGTAAAGGGGCTTCTATCTGAATTTGTGTCTCCTTTTGTGAACGAATGAAAATTTGTATAATATCTGGAACTTAAAGTATGCATGAATTATTAATGTTTGTATACACATTTGCCTACTGAAATATATTAAAGTACCATCATTTTTTAGGAGAAAATTAAATCTAAAGCTTCATATATACTGTTAGAAAATATAGAAGGATGGAATTAATGAAAAACTTATTTTCATATAAACAGCATCTTCTTTAATTCCATCTACACTCAGGAAACTTTTTCCATCAACTGTCTCCCCAAATGAGATATAATACCACTGCTCACTGTTAAGGAATGTAAAATGCTTAACTTCCTGGATTTCCTCTTTTCGATAGGGTTCATAATTTGTTTTTGAAATTCTCAGAGATCTAAATAGAAGGAATGGAATACATCAGTAGAAAGACATTGTGTCTCTAAAAGAATATGAAGGTATTATTTTCATTGGAAAAGTTTATCAGATATTTACCAATGTGATGAGTCGGAATTTAATGTATGTCTTGTAAGGGACCACTTAATCAATTCAATGAAATAAACCCTCTAATGTTATTTTGATCTATGTGAAATACAGATTATCGTACCAAATACATCGTTTATAAAAATTAATGTGACACTTTATATGGAAATAATCAACCCCTTGAAGTTTTATTTCATAAAACTATAAGTACTTAAAACAACCAATCATTATGAAATGGAATGAAGTAGTTTAAATATTTTTAGTACGAAACATAATATTGAAACATGTCAGCAGTAATTCCATCAAGTTAATTTCAAGTAAATATGTATCATTTGGAGAAACGTTTGTAATGTGACAGACCGAAATCTTAATAATTAGGTTTCCTAATCGTTTTGATTCAGATTAACTAAACGTAAATCAGACTCATTTCTTTACAAGTCTTTTCCTCTTTTTCTCAGACTGACTAATTTAAGATTTGTATTTGTCCGTCAGTTGTTATCGCAACTATGTGCAAACCTTTAGATATGTAAGATAAGACATGATGCTCATCGTGTCATGCATTTCTCTTAGTAAATAGTTTGACGTAATTGCGTGCAACCAGAAGGTAAAATTAAACCTGAGCTAAATGTTAAATAATCAGAATTCTTCTAATTCCAAAGTATGATGTCACATTCTAAATATACCAAATAAGGTTGATAAGTTAAAGGTAATATCAGTGATGCAATTTTGAAACTTAAACAGTCAGTTCGTTGTAGCAATAAATCATCATAATTGTTTTTAGAATGAGGCCTCTCAATCGATACACATCTATATTTCAAAACGCTTACTAAAAAAGAATAGAATTGACTATAGACAGAAGTCGAATCGTAGAATTAATCAATAGGCTTTTTGAAGGAAATCTAATCACCAAGTCCATTAATAATATTTTAAACATCAAGAATCTCATTTGTCTCTTAAGTTACATGAATGGATTGTCTCATTACAATGCTTACTGTTAATTTGATCTATTAACCACAAAGTTGCTTGTTGGCTGACGTAAACAGTTTGCTGATAACTGACACAGTAAGAATAAGTAAAATCTTTATAAAAATTAAGTCACACCAATATTTCCTATGGGTTTGTCTGATCATTCCTAGTAAGACAAATATAAAATGTCACTATCTGAGGTAAAATGATTCTCATTAAATGCAAACTAAAGGTTTTTTAATATGAAACTGAACATTTCGGAATGCTTTTGTTATATCTGACAAAATCCTTCTACAAGTGCATTGTTTTCACACCCACCTATTTACGAATTTTCTCAATAAAAGTATATTAATATCCCTAACATAAACTACATAAATGTAACTACTTTTGTCTTCTAAATTTCGTTTTCCATCAGTCATTCGTTTTGCTCAATACGTTATTTAGATGGCCATTTTAGGGTACAAGAGATCACGAGACTTTATTCTCTAGAATCACCGTTACTATGAAAATACAGACCATTTAATATCAACGAGCTAATTGACTATAAAACATAAATCGCTAATCACAGTGGCTGAAGTTAAGCTTTAAGGTCCCTAAAATACTCTGTAATAAAGATAATATCATGTATTAATAACAATAATAGTACACATAGCTAACCTGTATACTACGTATCCATTTTCAATACTGAGTGAAAACTTGAAATCTTCCTTATTTGACTCGTGGGATACTAATAAATAACTTCCATCAGTAAAACTTGGTCGTATTTCAAGGTCAACTTTATAGGTATTAGTACTGTTCATTGACACTTGATTACTTCTTTCGATGAAACTTTGATTGGTACCACTGTATAACGCAGACGATTTAAAATAAAATTTCAGATAACCACCTTGCTCGATATGCGGAAACTGGTATCCTTCATCCACTGTAAAAAAAAATATAAATCCCAAAAATAGAAGTAATGTGAATGATACACTTTTAGAAACGTATAAAGAGTAACTCCACAGTAGTTCAATATAAAAGCAAAGTAATTAAGAATTTTCGGGTTACTCAGTAAAATCTGAAGATTTCTCACTGTGTAACTTATAGATATGCCTTAATCACATCTTTTTATATTAAGTGAACTAAATTTGATAGTTGTAACTAAATAATCCTACTTGAATTTGAACAGGTGTATAATTTCACTTGTTTGTTTCCATAACACAATCCATACAATCCTAGTAACTGAATTTCCGAAAAAAAATCTGGTAGGTTTTACTTAATTGTGGAGAGATAGTAAGTTTAAATATAACTAAAAAAAGTAACCAATGGAAGTCTAGTACTGCAATCAATCAGTCTCATATGTGTATCCTGTATTGATTGCCATAATATTGCCATGTGCCACAAACATTATCGTCAGAGATTGACGTTGGCTGGCACTAGAGTCTAGGACTCTAGTTTCGTCCTGCTTGGGACTCATCAGCCGGATGTACCTGCACCCCAGAGTTAATGTTCACCCAGTACTGTTCGCTCCTAATGCCACGGAGTTACCTGCTTAGCTCTTCAATCCAGACCAATTCTGGAATGCAGATGCATCCGCCTGACGAGTCCCAATTGGGGCAAAACTCGCGTTATGGATTCCAGTACTAACCACTATCCATGACCAAAAACGGTTTGGACGAAATTCAAAGTATCTATTGCATAGTCATTTGACAAACGGATACACAAAATAAAAGTTCTGAATTAAAATTTGATTGATAACTGGGATTCAAACTTGAGCGCTCATTTAGCGAAAAACATTTGTTGGCTAGAATATTTTACTGACTCGGATGAAAAAATAGGATAACTTATAAAATGCCTTGCAATAGTTATAAAGTCCAACACATAAAGTAACGGATGGAAGTCAGTTTATAGAATGAAACACAATAACTTAATATGTACAAATAAGTGGAGCGATAGGAAACACTGTTTCGCATACACACCATCAGTCTTAACGAGCACTGAAGCTGATAGTTCAATGAACATACATGATATGCGCTAGAAATGGTTCAGCACCCCGTTACATTACCGTAATAAAATGCTCCTAAATATTTTGGATCTCAATAGCTAGTCACTAGTTTTAATACTGGCAGTGAACTTTACAGTTAGAAAATGGAAATCATATTTTTAAATTAACAGTTCTATTTAATAAATCAAAAGCCGATGAAACTTTATTATAAAATAACCACTTATTAAAACAAAACTATCATTAATTATTTTGACTAGTCCCGAATAATAGAAAAATAGAAAAACTATACTGTATACTCCTTTCCTTTATTTTTTATGAATGATTTCCGGAGATAATGTAAGATGACAAATTACCAGTGGATAAAATAACTCTCAGATGCTTATTAATTTAAAAATGATTTATAAAGTGGATAGTCAAGCGCAAATTGAGAATTTAAGGCTTATCAGAGTTTGACAGTTTTTGAAAAATAGTAATGCTAGAAGTAAATAAAAACATCCAAGCATTTTATAACGAAGTATGGAAAACGGCTTTTCATACACTTAAAAGAATTGCTAAAAATGAAACCTTAGGATATACTGTACACAGTTATTTAACCAACCTAACTGATAACCGAAAGGAATTAGAAGTGAAGCCCTAAGCCTAATGTTTTCTGTAGTTAAATAGATCCCAAGGAAAATCAGAATAAAACAGAGCAACTGTTAAATATTCTCAATTTTTCAATAGTTTTAACCAGTACTGTAATGAACGAGACCGGAAGTGGGGATAACCAATGTATTTTGATACAAAATTACAGAATGTTTTGGTAAAATATGGGAACAATACATTGAATACTTCGTTTGTAAATCTCCTACATTTATCCTTCACATTCTGTATGAATCTTCCCATTCTCACTCTCTTTCTATTTCGGTTTCTATTCTCTTCAACGTGATCTTCTTAGTCTTCCGCTGCCAGGTTTTCCACTTTCGTTTGGTGTTACATACTACTTATGTCAACAGACATAAGTAGCATACAACACAGTATTGCAATTCTTGGAAAGCATTCTTCTTTAGTTATGGAACCTAGAGAAGCAATCTCATGACTTCAAGTATTTCATACTTAATCAAGAGTATGAAACATATCAACATATAGAGAAATGTTTAGCTTATCTAAAAACGTTTCCCAGTCGACATAATCGGTTACTTGATAGCCAACTAAGTACAAAGACAGCTAAAGTTTGTCATGGTAATTATCTCGTTAGTAGTTGGTTTTTAAAATTTTAGGGAATCAATAAGTTGGCATCCACTTCCGCAAATATATTCTGTAAAAATTAAGCAAAATATATCAGCCGAAATGGGTATTCCAGAATTCTAACGAACAGTGGTTTTATTATCAAAGTTTTAGACACCAGCACTTTGAATGTAAGCTACAACAATAAACCACAGTTTCACCGAATGGAATACACTATACATATTTACCATAAGTCTGAGGATTAGAAAATTAGAAAAGTATCCCTTGATAATACCTTGTAAAACTCTTACTCTTTAGTTTCTAAACGGACAAGTTATAATATAGAGTAAACTGCATTATAATCGTAATAACATATAACTCACTCCTACTCAAACTATTGACACTAATTTATATAACTTACTATTCATTGAAAATAATCAAGCCCTAAATTGGAATCCGGAAGGAAAGCGGAAAAGAGGAAGGCCGAAGAACACATTATGCCGGGAAATAGAAGCAGATATGAAAAAGATGAATGTTAACTGGAAAGAACTGAAAAGAATTGCCCAGGACAGGGTTGGATGGAAAATACTTGTGTGTGGCCTATGCTCCTCCACGACGGGTGACAGGCGTAAGTAAGTAATGAATAACACAAGTGTTATTTTCTACATATTACTAAAATTGTATCAGGCTGTAACTGGCTACTGAAAAATTTTAATCGCACAACGCAGACGCACTACGTAGACGATAGGTGAGGATCTATCATATTTCAAAAAGTATATCTGAATACACTAATTCTTATATGATTTATTTACAGGCAGATGTGTATTCTACAGACTAGTATTTAAGTTCAACTAATCTGTAACCTACTGTGTGAACTGACATTTACGATATCATAAAACTGAATGGTTCCTTCATAAAATTTGATTACATTTCATAAATGATTGTTATTATTATTCACGACTTTATTCAATATTATATTTTCGGTACAATACAGAATTGTCAGCACAAAGTACCTCAGCAGATTTCTTTTACAAAAACAAAGAAAAGAGAAGAAAATTGGAAGAAATCACCTTTATAGGTCAATCAAATTCCAAATTCTCAAGTCCTGTTTGTCTTATCACATATAAACTTCTTTCTTGGATTAGTTTTATAAATCCCCACCCTTAAAAGGTGTTACAAAACCCATTTTACAAATAAACAAAAAATTGTATTCTATGAGTGATGTTTATTGTCAGGTGTAAGAATTTGTTTATATAAAATATATTGATTTCCACCCAACAATATTTGACAGAAGACTGAAAACGAAAGTGAATTATAGGATTAGTTACTTTGGCCCTGAAACAATGAAGAGAATGATAATCGTAATTAATAAAAGGAACAGATTCTACTTTTTTGTTGATTTATACAAAGTAAATGTTATTTGTGAACTTATTAGTTACAACTGCTTTCAAATTTACTCAGTCAACGTTAATGCCGAAATGTTGTCTAATATGGCAGAGGTACTCATATTAATTTCTATTAGAAAAAGTCTTTACAACTACCAGTTTCCGCTTGTTAAACCAAATGTCAATTACCTTTATCACAGAAATCACCTGAATATCCAATTGGACATAAGCATTTTGAAGAAGACGAATGTAAGTTAGTATAGCATTGTCCCTGGTTATAGCACAAAAAAGATCCACATATTGTTGCACCAGGTATGGATATGGAATACTGAGAAGTAGCATGCTCTGTTACTATTTCATTATTGTTCTGCAGGAAAGGTTGGTTCTTCTTACCATTTATTATGAAGTTTCTTCCATCAGTCTTATCAGATGAAGAATTGTAAGTGGGATCTTCTACTTCAACTTCCATAATCATAGACCAATCATTATCATCTTGATTTTCTTTAGCTAACAAACCTTGAGCAGGATTCAGAAGACCTAAGGTGGAAAATAAAAGTAATTTATTAGAAGTTGACATCAAGGAGTTGTCTTGAAAAAGTACATTAATCATGAACTGTGAGTGATAGGTGATTTTAATAGAGAACACGATGATGTTCATTTAACTAGTATTCTCACTAGATAACTTTTAATATTTCACTAGACAAACATGAATTTACAGTCTAAAACTATCTTAATTGTTAAAAGTACATTACAAGTTTTAATTTCGTTCTCTTTCCAAAAAAGTATATAGTAAGTCGTGTTTACTATTTCTTCTTTTAAAGGATACATCGTCATTCAAACTGGTGGCTATTGAAAGACTTTTATGACATATAAAATTGCTTCTCATGTTTGGATGATTCTATTCATCTGGACAACTTATCTTAGAAAACTGTCAGCATGGGTTTACTCTATGAATTTTTCTTTACAAATTCATCTACACATGTATATCCAGACCCGTGACAACTAAAACACCAAGTCTAATTTTTATCACTCATCATGGCATACTTGTGCATGAATCAAGCAATCAAAATCCTTAAAATACAATTACGTTTACTATATAAGAACTTTCGTCTAAATTAGAGCGCATAGCTTCACAATATTTGAGCGCCGAGTTGATGTAAGACATTAAATAGGAATAATATATTGCTTGAAAAAGCTTGGACCAGATTGCCCGGCGAAACGTTGGATTTACTTCAAATTCATTTGCTGAGATTTTACAAATATATTATGCCTATTTAATTACGTTTACTGATATTGATTCTTTCACATCAATTGTTTTCAGGATACCAATAGACAACCAAACTAGTAATAAATGAACTTTGCCATAAAATTAATGATCTGTGATCTTATGACAGCAGTGAGTGAATTTAGAAAACTCACTTTAACCCATTTTTAACTTATAAATTTTCCGTTATACAAATAATGAGTTGTATACTGTTTAAATAACTTCAGTACCATTGAAATTTTAGGAACGTTTAGTGCTTCGTAGCTTTAAAATATGTTTCTTTCTCTGTTGAATAATCGCTGTGGTCGCTAAAGGGGATTTGAATTTTATCCAAACTACTAAGTGTTGCCAAATGCTTTTGTAATAAAACGAACCAAATTACAACAGTCTTTTTATTATCAAATAAGCAACCAATTTTACAAAACCATAACAGTATGATAAATAAAAACCGATTAGTTACTCGTCTGACCATTTTGTCTAGACATCACGGTGTTGATATTGATGTTATGATAGGAGACTATAAAAAATTAAAAGAAGAGGCTTGAAGACCAGAAATGTCTTTTTTTGTATTGTACATCATTGAGAAAAATCTCAGTTACTTATTCACTCTGAAAGTCTTTTAGCTTTGCTATCTAGATTCTCTATAACTAAACCGTTCCCTCAAAGAATGATGATTAAACTCCTCTTTTGATACGTTTATTTCTCTCTCTACGAAATTTATTGTAACCTATTGAAGATAAAACCTGATCAGTTTAAAGTATTAAAATTTAAAAGCAAAAAATCTGTCAGCGAAATTGTTGACAAATCACTTAACAGTGCTTCCAGGTTTTCCCCGGTGGTCTAGCTTCAATTGACTCACGTTTTCAACTATGAAAATACTAAATCTCCACAAAAACCACTTAACATATTTCTTTCCCAGTATCATGGATTTACTTAATTGTTATAACCATTCTACTACAGTTTCTCACAAACTGATTACCAGACACATGTTCAATTAAGTAGATAACCTTTCAAAAAATCTATTGTTAATCAAAAGGATTATATTTGGATACCGGACATTAGTTCATGAAACTTTAGTTTACTTCATTCAAATACCTTGAATTCTATCTAAGAATAAATAATTCTGTTGAAATATTGAGTAAAAGTTGTCCTTTTGTTAATTTCTTTTATCAGAATCATTTTCAGTTTAAGTGAAACACTAGTTGTTAACAAAATGTGAAAGATTAAATATTTTCCACTTTTAAAGTTTACTAATATACCTTTCAGATAAATTTTGTAGTATCAAAGTCAACATATTCCATAAAGCTATAGAAATATCATTATACATCAATCATTCATATAATACAAGTAGAACTCATGATGATCTATAGTCCCAGAATATAAATACCATATGATGGTCAGTATAAAAGATATACATACGATAGTCACAACTAAGTTGGATCCTTCATTACATCTCTATTTTAACTGTTATTATTTGATTGTTATCGGTCATAAATATTAGAAAAGTCTAAGTGTAACCTTGTAGAACTGCATTGTAACTATTTGTTTGCCAAAACAATATTGTTTTATATGATGTTGAAAAATCGAATAGAATATTGCAAGTATGGTTGATACAAAGAAATATCTGATGTAAATTCTGTATCAGTGATGATAGTTATGTGAAAGCTTTTTAAGTCGGGGAAACAAATCTGCCAATCCTGTCCATAATAAAAGTCTGAAAGTTTTACGGTAAAGTAAACTTCTATCACAATACACAAATCCCACAGTACATTACGAAGTAAGAAAATATCTCAGATTAAAAAAAACATCTTTCGATAAGTTATAACAAGAACATATTTAGAATAAAACACTAGAATTATTTCCTAGCTAATGGTATTATTTTTGAAATCATTTGATGAAAACAGGACCTAGCAATTACCTATGAGATGAGACCTTTTTACTACATTCTCCTGTTTTATATTTCCTATCTCATATTTGTGTAGTCAGTGTTGGTAACACATATAGGATTTTTACAACTCGATGACTGCGAAGATAACCGCACACTGATATTTTTTGCAAAATAACTAAATTTGTCATAAAATTTACACCGTCTGATCCCAATTCAGTGACTGAGTGAAACTGTGATGATAACGAAGCTTCAAGGTCTTACCTCCTATAATGTGTATTATGAGTGTCCTAAACTAATATAAAACAACTGCTTAGTGCTTCCTGACTATCTACGATTTTCTATTCTACGGTAATCTAAATTGAAGACTATGACTAAATATATGAATATAAATGATTTGCATGGAATGGAATCTTACCAAAATATAGTACGATGATAGCAAACATGACGACTGTTTGTCCTGATTACAAAACAAATATTTACTTTCTCCAAAAATATCCCACTTGATTTGTCATTTGAAACACTCCCTTTTTGACAAAGCTTCATAGAAAACTTTTGAAACTTTATTTAAGAAAACCATATAAAACAACTGATAATCCTATTGGTTATCTCTTTTGTGGATTATGATTGGTTCTAAATTCAACGCTTAACGAGGGTAGAACGTTACGTTCAAGTGTATCTACGTTATTATCTGTGATGAAATTTTTTTGAATGAATAGTTCAACACTATGAATAAGTAGAATACACTTATTCCAATTAAGTTGATCAAAAGTGTGCCACCTAGTGTACGTTGCTATGTTTACGAATCCTAGGAAATTCACTATAACTAACTTCATTTTCATGTAGATCAATGTTGACTCACAGTGTACATTTTTATGAATGCCATTATCATCTACTGAGCTTTTAGAAATGACCTTTTTTCCTATTTTCATGTACGCTGTACACACTCTTTGTTAACTATATTCAACCCTTAATCACAATGGTATTTTCGATAGTTTAGAACGAGCCTAAATTAAGTTGATCAAAACAAGAAACTATGGTTAAAAAAATAAACTCTGCTATACAACTAACAGATGATATCATTACAGTAAAGTGAACTGCTTCCAATAAATATATTTTGGTTAGTCTTTTTGAGTTAGATAAAGAAATTTCCAGGATTAATTTGTCTAAAGTCAACTCCGAAATTCTATCAACATTTTGAAAAACATCGAAGAAGTACGCATTGACTTTAAGAGCATTGCTACTTGCATATATATATCTGCGCCATTAAAGGGACTATTAGCAATCGATGAATATCAAAATATTAAATAACTTTCCGTGGTTCAATATTCCTAAATGTCACTGAATTATTACTAGGCCTTGGAATTAGGATTTTGGTTAAATTATAACCGCTTTTATTTCTGTCGTCTCTTACCAAGTGAAAATACAGGAGTCTATGTCTGTTTACAACCATGGACTAATGAATAAGGAATCTGGGTAGAAATTGGTTCATCAACAAATAATTTTCCAACCATTCACATACACTATTTCGATAATAAACGGTGGCTTATTTCATGCTATACTGAATAATGGTGCTAAGGTTTATCTTTCAGCAAATCCATTGCTTTTACTGTATATGACTTCTTGAAATAGTATTTAGAGCTTTAACGTTCTACATGATTTAATATAAAAAGTTCAAGCTGAAATTTGAAAAAAGCCTGAACCTAACTTAATCTTTAGTAAGTAAATTGAATGAGAAAAAAACAGTCCTCTCAGCACTTAACACGAGGCCAGTGCACACGTTGCAAAAGTTACAATGGCACGTCATAAACACAGTTTCAACAGAGTCGTTAGTTGTATATCCGTGTGATGCCCTTTAGAGTCGCCATAAAATTGTTAATTATCTTAGAGAAATTTTGTTTTTAATCAAACTTACAAATTCATGTATAGGATTTCACTTCGATTAAATAAATGTACTTGATATCATTATCTAAGTTCTTTCTGGTTTCAAATGACCAAACAACCAAAAATTTCATTACAAACAAGATTGTGGATACCTTCAGTGGGCTTTTTGATATTGAATAGTTCTATGAAGAACTGAAGCACTTCATTTCGACAAAGAATACCTCAGATATACTGTTGTATATCTTAAAACTTTTATTATTGTGAGAATCGTGTGAATTTTATTTGGCTACTTCAACCTATCTTCTTACCAAAAAGCACTTTGTGGTGTTTCTCCTCAATGTTATTGTTATTGCATGATGTCTAGTTTGTTGTGCAGTTGTATTTGATTCAATCAGATGGATTTAAGCTTTTGAAACTTTTTATGTATTCAAAGGTTATATTACAATAATAGACTTTACTAAATAGTAAGTTGTGTTTCATTAGTAATGGTTACCTACCGACAACAGCATTTGGAATTTTATTTGTGTGAAGAAAACGCATAAACACTTTGAATAACGATGAAAGAATAGTGTTTTCTTAGGCTTAAACACCGTTTACTTTCAAAATAAGCACATATACTGAGTTACCATGGAAGGATTGTGAAAACTGTTAAATTGAATAATTATCTCGATCACAAATTGTCTGTATGTAAACCACTGAAAACCAGGAAGCGCCGGATGGCTGTTCTATCCTAGTATGGGACTCCTTTGGGATCGGTTTATGCCTGGATATATATGTTTACTATTGAACACCACGTCTGGGTATGAGACTCCTCACTAGTGAGCATTCAAGACCCCGCACACGGAAACGAACACAGGACCTTTGGTCTCGTGCGCCAATGCATGAACTCTTGACCACTGGGCCGGCACTCAGCTATGTCAATGTGTAACGTCAACAAATCCAACCATATTCCACTGTCTTCGGCGGGTAACTGCTTTACACTAGACACGGCTTAGCTTCACTTGTCACAGTTTTCACTAGAATTCACTACAACTCTATTGAAAGGATTTATCCGAAATAGCTAGGCAATTAAGTTTCATTATTTTGTAAAATATCGCCCAACAGATAGCAGAATTAAGATCCTTATATGATAGATTAAACAACGAAAAATCCCACACTCTAAGTAGGTTTATTTAAAGTCAGTAAAATTCTTAGACCATCTCCTTTAACGATAGCTTATTTTTCATCCGTATTTGCTGTGCGGAAACTTTGGTGCATATTCCATATCTCAAAATAATAAATATCACGGAATCACCTAAAAACTAATAATCACACTGGTTAATTGACAAAAAGTGGAAAAGTTACTTTACTAACACTTTATTATTCAGAACTGCGGACGAAATACTTTATCATAATTTGCGCCTGAACCTAAACATGTTAACTCAATTTTCATACATACTAGTATCAACCAGAATTTATTCATTTCCACATGGTTCTAACCTAACACTTATATCTTTGAGGATTTGAACTTTGGATACTGATATTATTAACAACCAATTTCTAGTTGATTCGTTAATTTGCCCCCATCACATTATGACTTTTCGTTAGCACTAATTATGAGATTATACTTTGAGTCCAACAAAACTACTAAGCGGACGAAAAACGAAAATGGAGAAGCAACATAAAACTATCATTTTATATTATTACTTTATACTTAACTAACGCATAAAGATTACGAGATACGACATCTGACTTGAGGCTAAAAAAAATACTTTTTTTAAGAATTAAAACTACCTGAGTTAGTATAATTTCCTATAAAACTATTCACCCCCATAGTTAGTTTTAGTTTACGCCTGTTACCCCTCGTGGAGGAGCATAGGCCGCCCACCAGCATTCTCCATCAAACTCATCCTGGGCAATCCTTTCCTGTTGTTATTTATCCATATCTGCTTATTCCTTCAACTTCCAGGGCACAGTTTAAATGGTTTGAATTACTTTTTCTGGTTAGCGTTTTTTAGCGAGTTAGTTTTTCTACGGTATGGGGTCGCTAACCCCATGCCCAACCCTCCTCCTTTATCCGGGCTTGGGACCGGCAGTACCTCTAGAAGAGCTACAGACCCCCATAGGGGTCACAGAAATATAGAGCGTATATCTCTGCTTCAAAATAAGTCCAAAAATTTATTTATATATAAGCAGCTTTCAGTTGTTTCCTAAACATTTGCGGACATAGATATCAATCATTACTACTTCTAAACTACACCGCAGGAAATGAACCAGTTGAATTTTATCTTCTGTTAAGTTTCAACCTCCCAATATTAGAAAACTGATATTCTACATTGTACCCTACTACAGTTTAATTTCATGATTGAAAGTGTAAACATAAATTTTTATATAACCGTTAGCTGGTGACGTGAAGATGATTGACACTGTAGACTACAGGATAAACCTATTTATCATACAATCATTCTTGTGTATAACTGTTTTCAAGTGGATTGTTGCCTATAGAAATGAAACGGCTGATACTTCCCAATAATCACTCGTTCAGTTAGTGGTTTTATCACATTTTTTAAAAAATGAAACTAACTTTTTCATGAAAATGTAAAAGTTCAGTAGATTTTGAATACATTTGTCTCTGAAGAAAATACTTAAATTTGATACCACACCTATTCTTAGTGATACCAAACAATCTTCTGAATTTTGTACGAGGCTTTTCAACACAGGGAAAATTGAGAAGACCTTTCACTCACATAACTTTCTTTATATTCACTTCTATTTTCAGAGATCATTCTCAGTTAATTGTATCAAGGTAACTGAAAATTGAACATATCGCTTAAAATGTGCTACAAGAAATTACATAACTTTGAAAGAAATGCACAGAGAACCGTAAATTATCAGTATGCATGAATGTCGTTTTTTCACGGTTTATTATATTCTATTTATTTGTTAGTCTCTATTTCATTAAATAACCTGAGTTAATGTACAACTTATTAGTGATCTGAGTCATATTATAATGTTCACTTAAGTTGTAGAGAATATCCGATAATTAAATATATTACTTTTAGTACAGATTAAGACTGCAAAATAAATTTCCAATCATATATAGTACATATTTAAATAAATCTTAGTTGTCAATCATCAATTGATCGTACAAACTTAAACAACAATAACAATAATGAAGGTGGTAAGCACTAGGACTATAAATGATAATGACGTGTCTTCCGGTGGACTAGATGAGAAATTTCAGAGGGAAAGAGGAGGGTAGGAGTAACAAAGACATTTCTCCCCCCCCCTAATAACTGATTTTATCTACTTCCTGGGACGGGTTATTATTATTATTATTATTATTATTATTATTATTATTATTATTACTATAATAACTGTTATTATTATCAATATGATTTGTCTCTGTAACTGTCTCTTTCCTATGTCAAAGGAAATAACCTAACATTTTGGGAATTGTATTAAAGTGAATTTCCTGCATCCATAAATGTCATTTTCTTTAGTATTATTGTTATAGTTGCTATTGTTATTATTATTATTATAACCACTGGTCTAACATTTATTTAGTTAAAAATGATACTCT